TATCAGCTGAGCTGTGGAAACTGGTCATTATATCATGATCAGCAGCGTTTTCACAAGTGAACGCATCACTGCTCTGATTAATGAAGAATGTTACTGAGACCATGAACACACTGAGCTGCAGAAACAGGAAGTGTGTGTGTGTGTGTGTGTGTGTGTGTAAATGTGTATGAGTGTGCATTGAAGCTGCACCTGGCTCCTTGTCTGTGCCCCAGAGCCCAGGGGGGTGAAATAAAGAACGCCTTGTCCCAAAATCCATCGCACACACACACACACACACACACACACACACACACACAGAGCCAGGTGTGTGTGTGTAGATTCAGGTCAAACACAAACAACAGATTATTATGTGAAAGTTTTTATTTTGACTGTTAGGATGGCACGTGTGTGTTACTGTATGTGTGTGTGTGTGTGTGTGTGTGTGTGTGTGTTGCTGAGGATGACTCCACTCCGCTGGCATTTCCTTGGAGGGAAGTCGCTCTTCTCCGTTCTTCCCTCATCTTAGTCCTATCTGCCTCCATCTTACACACACACACACACACACCTCCTGCTCGTCTTCACTCGTTCCACTTCCTGTCTCTGCAGATTTTCCATGTTTTCTGGCAGCAGCCTGGAAAAGTCCTGTGTGTCATTTACTCTCTGTTCACCTCACATCCTGTCAGACCTGAGAACAACACCATCATCATCGTCATCATCATCATCATGTGTCCTACATGTTGACTCACTGTGGGTCATTAGAGGCTGATATCAGAACTAGGGCTGGAACGATTAGTCGACTAATCGATGACTAATCGACTATTAAAATATTCAGTGACTATTTTAGTAGTCGACAAATTGGTCATTTTTCATAGAAAAGTACTATAAAGTACCCAAATACTTGTATTGCAGCTTCTTACATTCAGATATCGGCAGCTTTACACACTCTCCAATGACGGTGAACTCAAACCCTTTTGACATCATTTTGGGGTTTGGGAGAGACAGAGCGACATTTTTCAACATTTTAACACATTTTTCGATAAAATGATTAGTCGACTACTCGAAGAAATAATTGACAGATTAGTCGACTGAAAATAATCGTTAGTTGCGGCCCTACTCAGAACGATTTCCTGATGACTGAATATTCAGTTAATGTCAGAGCTTTGTTTAGTATTTAAATATGAATTAAGACCATATTGAGCCAAAGAGACTTTCGTCTGATCAGACTGACCTCAGATCAGTATCTCTTCTCTTTAATGAGAGATCCAGATCAGCCCCCCCCCTCTCAGAGTAGGAGCCAGAGGTCAGAGGTCACTCCAGGATCCTGGCGGTGGTGTACCTGATGACCTCATTAAACCTGGTCTGTGTCCTGATTGGACGGATCAGAGTGAAGGAGTCTTTAAAGGTCAGGAGGTGAAAGAGCGGTGGGGCTTGTTAAGATTCCGTCATCATCACTTTAATGACCTGATTTTATTTAGATGTAGTTTGGTCGGAGCGGAGCAGGCCGTCAGACCGTCAGCACATAAAGAACAAACAGCTCCAAGATGTCTGACGGGCCGCAGGTCAGAGGTCAATGAGTGTTGATGAGTAAAGTATAATCATCATGACGTTAGGTCTGACACTGTGAGACACCTCTGGACCTGCAGGTTAATCAGTGTGGAGGATTGTTTACAGCACAAACAGTGATGGAGGGTGCTGTTTGTTTGTTGGTTTGTTGCCCTCCTATGTCCTCCCACGTCCTCCCATGTCCTCCTGCGTCCTCCCGTGTCCTCCCGCATCCTTCTGCGTCCTCCCATGTCCTCCTGCGTCCTCCCGCATCCTCCTGCGTCCTCCCGTGTCCTCCCGCATCCTTCTGCGTCCTCCTGCGTCCTCCCGCGTCGTCCCGCATCCTTCTGCGTCCTCCCGTGTCCTCCCACGTCCTCCCGCATCCTTCTGCGTCCTTCTGCGTCCTCCCG